TTATTTGTTACCTAAAGTAACTTTAGTTAGAAGAAAGACAAGACTATTATTATTATTATTATTATTATTATTATTATTATTATTATTATTATTATTATTATTATTATTATTATTATTATTATTATTATTATTATTATTATCATTATTATTATTATTATTATTATTGTTATTATTATTAGTACCACTATTATTATCATTATTGATGTTATTATCTATGTGAGTGTATTTTCAAGGACGAAAACGACACTTGCAGATAGGTATATGTGTTATCTCTAATGATTCAGGTATATGTGTGGTCCCTAGCGACACTTACAGGCATACATGCAATCTCTCTCTACACTTACAGGTATATATTTAGAATATATCATCTCTAATTATAAAAAAAGGAAAATAAAAAGTGACAACGAATGATTGAAAAATCAGCTTTTCATATTCCGAACTTTCGCTAATTGACAATTCAAAAATTAAATGCTATAATCACTTTATAAATTTTGAATTCAAACAATTACTGTATCATGTTTGCTTTTAATAAATTAAGCACAATTAATTGAACTTAACAAATTTGATCAAATTGATTCTAATTCAAATTTAAGCAGAAATCCCTAAAATCTTGAAAAAAAACAAAAATAATTTGTTTATAAATGATTTAAATGGCATGTGTCGTCATCGATGATGATTTGATTGAATTAAATCGATTAAAAATTATCCAGTTTGTTCAATCACAACAAATCAATGCCATTATTTCAACGATTTGAAATGAATTGGGTAGAACTTAAGCTATAATTAATAAATCATATGACTTAATTTTCCAATTTGTTTACTCTTCCTATTGGCTTCCTTCATCAAAAATTCCCTCCTACAACTTTTATTATCTACAAAATACCAATTGTCATATTGATAGCAAATTTTTATTTGCATATCATTTCAAACAAAAAGAAAAAAAAATGACGAAAAAAAAGTAGCAAGGGAAAATTTTTTGCGAAACTTACGAAATTTCCACATTTCCACCATTCATTTATTCATTTCATTAATAATTAATAATATGCTTAAAAAAAATTAATATCGTTATTTTGTGATCCGAAAAAAAAGGCGGTAAAAAAAGCGGAAAAAATGGCATTTACAATATCCTGCCAAAGTTTCCGTAAAACTTTTTTAAAAAGCATATCGGTTCTCTTTTATTTTTCAAATTAAATTAAAATTTTCGCCAAGAATGTCATAATTGTTATAACATTTTGTTTCTTTTTACTTCTTCTAAATATTCGATCCCGTTATTCATCAATCATTTCTACTTCTCATAGTTAATATCATATCACTTTCTAATGTTGTAATAGATAATGAATATGTTTATTAAGTAATTCATACATAAAATATTCTTTTAATTTCCAAAAATTTGGAAATGTTAACAAAATAATCGTTGTAATTTTCATGATATTTTACAAATTATTTAATCGGATTTTATTTTAATTGCTGCAATTATGTGACAATATAAACGATAAATTAGTTAAGATGGATTTTTTTGCTAGCTGATATATTTTGCGGATTTATTTAATTTTAGATTTACAGTTTAATTGCAACGATATAAATTATCAGGAAGGCAAGTGCTTTGGTTTAGTTTAAATGAAAGGAATTTAAGGAATAAAAAACTTATTTCAATTGATTTGATGTCTCAGAATTTCATAGCATTTATAACTTATTTTTTTCTTCATATGATAAACACTTTTACATTTTATTTTCTTATAATAAAGGCATAAGTTTTTGTTTTATTATTTTGTCATAAAAGCTATCAAACTTGAGCTCTTGAATTTTAATTTAAAAACAGCAAGTAACGGGGAAAATTTTTTAATTTCGATCTTTCTTTTTTTTAGCATAATTGATTTGTTTTTTACATATCATTGTAACACTTTTCATATCTGAACATCAATTT